GTTTCCATTCATGTCAATTGCAGATAAATGTTTAGTCTTCTCAAGCATCCATCCATCCATCTTCTCCCGCTTATCCGTGGTCGGGTCGCGGGGGTAGCAGTTCCAGCAGAGAGCCCCAAACTTTATTTTCCCTGGCCACATCAACCAGCTCTGACTGGGGGATCCCAAGGCGCTCCCAGGCCAGCGAAGAGATATAATCTCTCCACCTGGTCCTAGGTCTACCCCTTGGTCTCTTCCCAGCTGGACGTGCCTGGAACACCTCCCTAGGGAGGCGCCCAGGGGGCATCCTAACTATGTGCCCGAACCACCTCAACTGGCGCCTTTCGACGCGCCAACTATCAAATATCTCTCCTGATTGTTGGCACTTGACAATCACCTTACCTGAATTTTACTCAGGTGTAACTAAAGTCTGATTTAAGGGTTGTTTATATTTCACATCATTAATCAGAATCTGCAAAGTAACTCAAATAAGTGTAGTGGAGTAAACATTAGATTTAGTATTATCGTTTGGATTGTCTATCTCTGTGGATGAAATCTGTGCAGGAACGCGTATCTCAGACCATTTACCGGTTCTGTTTACAACCTCGATCCCTTCTGTAGGAGTCGAATCACGTGCTCCTGCGCGTTATCTGCGTTCAATTAACCCCTTGACTGCCTCACAGTTTTCAGATGCTTTTAATACTTATCAGATTTGTAAATTAGAGGTGAACTGTGCTTTTAGTGCGGATGAGCTTATCTCTTTGTTTGATTCGACATGCACACTAATACTGGATTCTGTTGCTCCTTTTACGCTTAGACGCAACAAAGTTCTCTCAGAGCCGTGGCTCAATGATTGTACTCGCGCGTTTAGACGCGCTTGTAGGCGTGCAGAGAGAAAATGGAAAAAGGATAAACTTCATGTCTCCTTAGAAATTCTTCGTGCTTGCCTTTCCGATTATCAGACGGCAGTCAAAGCAGCCAAAACAGAGTATATTTCTCTATTCATCTCCAAAAACAGCCATAAACCTCAAGTTCTTTTTAATGTCCTCAATTCGATTATTAATCCTTGTGATGCTTCTCCAATTGTGCCATCAACTACTCTCTGCGATACATTTCTTAAAAAATTTTATCGAAAAAGTATCTGCTCTTAGGCTAGTCTATACCAGTGCTACCCCAGATCCTGCTCCCTTTCTGTGCCCTGCTGTCCTCGACCATTTTGAGCCTGTATCCCTCTCTTCTCTCTCGGATGTAGTCAAGCACCTGCGGCCGACAAACTGCACCTTAGATAGCATTCCCTCTCGCTTCCTTAGAGATGTTTTTGAATCAGTTGGAGCAAGTGTTTTATTGCTTGTAAACACTTCTCTTAGCTCATGATGTGTGTCCCAGCTGCCTTCAAACATGCCGTGGTTAAGCCACTACTTAAAAAGAAAAATCTCGATCCCTCCGTTCTCGCAAATTTCAGACCCATCTCCCAGCTACCCTTTTTATCTAAAGCCCTGGAGCGAGTAGTCTACGCCCAGTTGCAGTCATTTTTAACCACGCATGGAATCCATGAAAAATGTCAGTCCGGCTTTAAACCTATGCATAGTACTGAAACAGCCCTTTTAAGAGTTTTTAATGATCTGCTCTTAGCCGCCGATTCAGGCAGCCCAGCTGTTTTGGTGCTGTTAGATTTAACTGCTGCCTTTGACACTGTGGATCATAGTATCCTGTTGTCACGGCTTGAACAGTCCGCAGGCATTACAGGCTCTGCCCTTGCATGGTTCAGGTCTTATTTGACGGACCGTAGCTTCTCAGTGCAGTTAGGTGTCTTCTCCTCTGCCAAAGCCCCTCTTACCTGTGGGGTTCCCCAAGGTTCGATTCTGGGCCCCATCCTTTTTCTATTGTACATACTGCCGCTAGGTTCAATTCTTACAAAACATAATATCCCCTTCCATTGTTATGCTGATGATGTACAGATTGATCTGCCTCTCAATCAAAATGCCAACTCACTACAGCAGTTGAAGGACTGCTTAACAGAGATTAAATCCTGGCTGAGCCAAAACTTCCTCACCCTCAATGAGAGCAAGACCGAGGTCATCTTTTTTGGACCCCAACCAACAGTCTCCCCGGTTGATATTCTGGGCTCCCTCAATACAAATATCTTCCCCTCTGTTATGAACCTTGGAGTGACCTTCAACAGCGCCTTTAAATTTGATAAGCAGGTTAGCACTGTAGTCAAGACCTGCTTTTTCAAAATACGACTATTGGCTAAGACCAAGTCGTTTTTATCTTTTAGAGACCTAGAAAGGGTTATTAACACCTTTGTTACCTCAAGACTGGATTATTGCAATGCTCTGTATGTGGGTATGGATCAGGCCTCAATTAGACGCCTCCAGCTAGTTCAGAATGCAGCTGCACGTCTTCTCACTGGCCATAAAAAGCGCGACCATATCACCCCAATTCTGGCTTCATTGCACTGGCTTCCAGTTCGGTTCAGAATAGATTTTAAACAACTTTTATTTGTTTTTAAAGCCCTAAATGGGCTGGCTCCTGGCTATATAGCCGAACTCCTCCATCGCTACACCCCAGGCAGAGCCTTAAGGTCGGCTGATCAGCTGTTGTTGATAGTGCCTAAGACCAGGCTTAAAACCAGAGGGCATCGAGCTTTTGCAGCGGCTGGCCCTATAGGCTCTGGAATACTTTGCCCCTCCATGTGAGGTCGGCCCAGACCCTGTGGGTTTTTAAATCAACACTTAAAACTCACTTTTTCTCTCTGGCTTTTGTTTAATTATCTATTTATTCATTTATTTAGTTATTTATTTTTAATATTTATAACATAACATAGGATTTCATAAAGTATTTTTAAAATAGTTTTTTTACATTATTCAAATACAGGAATAGTAGATAGGATTACTTAAAATATAGTACCTTATATTTCATATTTTTTCCCTTTAGACCCTTGCGGTTTATTCTTAAAAATCCTTACCCTTATACACCCCCCATTTTCCCTTTGCTGGTCTATGGCCTTGTAAAGGGTAACGGGGTACAGAGTCGCTTAGATAAGCGGGGAAGTGCATCTGACGAAGAGATAGGTTGTTGTGCTCCCTATCTCTGTTTCTTATCCTATATCTAATAGAACTGCTCGGGTCTTGATAGATTGAGTGGGGAAGTTCATGAGATCTTTTTAGAGGGTTATCAAGAATAACTTTTATCCAATGACCTTTTCCCTCTCTGTCTGTCTGTGTATTCTCTTGTTCCGATTAACCTAGCCAAATATTTTTTCTTGTTTTGTATCTATATCTACGCCGGGATCCGGAGTAGAGGCTGATCCTCTTGCTGTCTTGGATCCTCTATCCTGAGTTCTGGATTAAGTCATGGACTTCGGGTCGTGGCTGAACCTGTCTCTGCGGTCCTGCCTTGGGTCTCGTCATGCTGCTTCCCTGATGGCTTCCACAGGATTGTAGCTGACATCCTCGTGGATTCATCTTCTTATTACAGACACATGCATTTCCTAACATTCGGTCTATATGCTGTAAAATGTATTATCTCTTCGATTTACACACGGCATCTATTGCACGTCTGTCCGTCCTGGGAGAGGGATCCCTCCTCTGTTGCTCTCCCTGAGGTTTCTCCCATTTTTTTCCCCCTTAAACTGTGAGTTTTCTCTGGAAGTTTTTCCTTGTACGATGTGAGGGTCTAAGGATAGAGGGTGTCGTTTTATCATACTGATATTCTGAACAATCTGTGCTGTTGTATTTGCTGTAAGGTGTCTCTACTGTAGGCTATTTTTTTTATATGTACAGCACTTTGGCTCGACCAAAAATCGTTTATAAATGTGCTGTATAAATAAAACATGATTTGATTTGATGTCAGCTAGACAAGCAGAGATGCGTGCGACGACCTGGGTCTCTGAGTGGGGAAAGGACAGAATTAATTGGGTGTCGTCAGCGTAGCAGTGGTATGAAAAACCATGCGGGCAAATGACCGATCCGAGCGAGTTTGTGTACAAGGAGAAGAGGAGGGGACCAAGAACAGAGCCCTGAGGGACCCCTGTAGTTAATTGACAAGGGTCGGACTCGGACCCTCTCCAAGTTACCCTGTAGGTACGGTCTTTGAGGTATGAGGTGAGGAGGGAAAGTGCAGAGCCTGAAACTCCAAATTCTTGGAGAGTGCGAAGGAGGATCTGATGATTCACCGTGTCGAATGCAGCAGACAGGTCCAAAAGGATGATGACAGAGGAGAGGGAGGCTGCTTTAGCAGTATGCAGTTCCTCAGAGAAAGCGAGGAGGGCAGTTTCTGTGTCGTATCTTCATATCTATCTTCGTATCTTCAGGGTGTCGTATTCTCATACTGATGTTCTGTACAAACTGTGAAGTCCACTGAGACAAATGTAACATTTGTGATATTGGGCTATAATAAACATTGATTGATTGATTGATACTATGATCTAATAAATAAACATCAAGAGCCAAAGTAATGTTAGTCCTTGTAACCATTGGTTGGTATGGAGAAATGTTTGCCTCCTCTGTTGCTCTCCCTGAGGTTTCTCCCATTTTTCCCTTTAAACTGTGGGTTTTTCCTTGTACGATGTGAGGGTCTAAGGACAGAGGGTGTCGTATTGTCATACTGTTATTCTGTACACACTGTGAAGACCACTGAGACAAATGTAACATTTGTGATATTGGGCTATATAAATAAACATTGATTGATTGCTTAAATATTTTATATATGGATATTTTAAGTTGTTTGCAATTGTTTCTGTCATCCTACTATCTGTCGCACTGAAGAAAATTCAAACTAGCTTCATCACAGACTCTGTGGAGCAGCATTTGAGACTGTTTTTGCATACTGATTTGTGAATCTTCCTCGGACTATTTATAAGTAAGCATTCCCCACATGCATGGAAATGATCAGTGGCTGAAAACCATCCACACAGTGTCTTATTACTTTATAAAAAGGAAGAGACAAATCCCATCAGTGTTCACATCACATTGGTTGAAACGACAACAACTACAAATTGGAGGAAAAAAATTACAACAATGAAACATTTTCTAGTTTCTCTGTGTCTCCTGGGAACATTTCTACATGCCTTGGCCCAATGCACTGCCTCAGAGTTTCAGTTGGAGGGAGATTATTTGTTGGGTGGACTTTTTGATATTCATCATAGTGACCCCCCGCTTCGTGACAGACCAGAAGCCATCTATTGCTCCAGGTGAGTCCTAATATTAATTTGAGTTGCTGTCTCCTAAAGTTAAAACTAATAAAGAATACTTTGTGTTACATATTTCAATATTACACATTTAGGGCATTGCTTTAACTTCAGTTAAATAGATACAGCCAGTAGCTAAAACACTATCTCAATCCAGGTAAGTACTATATTATTAAAGTCGCTGCGCAAAATAATTGTCCATCTTGGTTCCATGAAATCCATTCATATCCAAAAATAATAATGTGATTTGAGCCTTTCAAACAGTCATGTTTGAAGCATGGAGCCACAAATGTTGCAAGGAGGTTCTGAAGCTAATTTCTTGTTGTACTTGTTCACAGTCATCCCTTCCTACTCCCAAGTTATCGGAGGTTTCAGGTGATGAGATTCGCTGTAGATGAAATCAATAACTCTACCAACCTTCTACCAAACGTATTTCTCGGCTATGAGATATTTGATCACTGCTCCTCGACACAGAGTTTTCCAGATGTTGTGAAACTCCTCTCAGTCAATAACTTGGTCCAACCATGGGATGAACCACATAACAATCTTTCCAGAATACTGGGAGTGGTCGGTCCTTATAGAAGCACCCAGGTCCTCAGTGTAGCCCCACTCTTTATGAAGGGTCTCATTCCTATGGTAAACCTACACATTAGTGTTAAAATGTTTTTGTCCAAATGTATATGAATTCTTATCAGGTTATAGTAAAATCGGATTAAATATTGATGTGTCACTGAGAAATACGTTTTCTTACTCTTTTAACAGGTCAGTTATGCAGCTTCTAGTTCTGTCTTTTCAGAAAAAGGGAATTTTCCGTCTTTTCTACGAACAGTGCATTCCAACAAAATCGCCATAGAAGGGATTGTGAACATTTTGAAGCACTTCAACTGGCGCTGGGTTGCTTTTCTAAACAGTGATGATGATTATGGCAATGATGGGCTGGCGTTATTCATGAAGAAGATTAAGGATACTGAAATCTGCCTAGCATACAACAAAGGTCTGAATCAATATACAAACCACTCCCAAACATTTAAACAGATAGAGGCACAGAAAATAAACACCATTATTGTTTTTGCTCCAGATTGGACTGCTGAAGCTCTCATTGAGTCGGCAATACAACTGAATTTCACCAACAAAGTGTGGATCGCAGATGAGGAATGGTCCTTAAACAAGAATCTCCCAAAGATAAAAGGAATCAGAAATATTGGAACTGTAATTGGAATTTCAGAACAAGCAGTGAAAGTACCTGGTGTCAATGATTTTATCTATTCTTCAAGAAGACACACTTATTGTGAAAATGCATCACAAAATATACACTGTAATCAGTTTTTCAACCGCAGCAGCCTGAGCACAGAAGACGTCGTTGCTGCAGACCCATCTTTTAATTTTCCTGTTTACACTGCTGTGTATGCCATCGCTCATGCCTTACACAATGCCTTGCAATGTGAATCTGGCAGATGTAATGACAATATTACAGTCTTCCCACACATGGTAAGTATACAAATAACTTTATTCAGATTTCGCTCAGTTATGTTTCAAATTGCATTAATGTAAGAATCCCTTTAATAAACTAACATATTATAAGTCTGCATTGTTTTCATATATATAAATTGTAAACACATCTTTGAACCAGATTGTTATCAATCAAACAGTTAAAAACCAGGCTGTGGATCCACACACTGTCACCATTATCATAGTAACTCTCAAAAAAAAAAAAAAATTAATTTAGTTGAGAGTTGTATGCAAATATTTTGTTTATTACAGTACCCATACATCTGTTGTTAGACTCTTTACTCTTTCAAATGAAATGACAAATATTTATAAGGAGCTTTATATTGCAGTTCATTCATCCACAGACATGTTGTCAAACGCCTATTTAAAATACGTCTCATATGGTTTTGGTTTAAACATGGTAATGTAATGGTCATTTGTTACTTTGTGTCCCCACATCAGGTTCTAGCAGAGCTGAAGAAGTCCAAATTTACTCTTTTAAATGAGAGCATTCGGTTCGATGAGAATGGTGACCCTAACTACGGATCATATTCTGTCGTTTTCTGGAACCACAGTGGTGATGCAGAGGAGATTGGCTTGTATACATTTCATGGATCAGTCCATTTCTTTATCAATAACAGCAAAATGCATTGGTACACAAATGGAGAAGTAAGTTAAGTTCCCCTTCCTAAGGTTTATATTGATTTATAAATGTTGTTACACATTTTCTTTTTAAATGTGTTTGGGATTTCTCACTTCTGTAGCGCTCAGTGTGAGAATGAGTGCACAAAAATGTATTAAGACATCTAAATAAATATGAACAAATGGGCGTTGGCTTTAAATACAAACCCTGTTAATGGTTTTACAACACTGTATAGGCCTAAATACTGCCAGTTCTCTATCTATTATATTTATTTATGACTACCCGTTCTCTTGCACTAATTTACTTTTATGCTGAATACATTTGTTTTACAGGCGCCTACTTCTGTGTGTTCCTCAGAATGCCCTGTTGGATTTGCAAAAAAGTATGCTGGATCCCACAAATGCTGCTTTAATTGTAAAATCTGTCCAAATGGAAGTTATGTCAACATCACAGGTACATTATTAATGAAAAATAAAAAAATAAAATCATTTCTTAAGGCTACAATTATTCACCAGGTTTCTCATCCTGATTTTAAAGTGAATTTTAAAGATGTAATGTTCACGCTGAACTGCACACACCAATTCAAGTAGAACCATTTGTATAGTTACTGATGCATCTACAGTATATAGTATATCACTATTCACTATACAATTGAAAAGCAATTTTGACATTAATTAAAAACTTATGGAGACTATTGTTATACAGATTCAACTTCTCTCTTTTTCAACTGATGTTTTTTTCTCAAAAGTGCTCCATAACTTGACAACGTGTCTTTCTCTCGTGTGAAAACAGAGGATCCCTACAGGTGCATCGACTGTAAGGACACCGAATGGTCTGCAGCAGGAAGTACATCATGCAGCCTGCGGTCGGTGGAGTACATCCCGTTCACAGACACCAGGGCTATACTGATCATGGTGGGGGCCTGGGACTTGGTGGGCTTCACACTCGCTGTATCTGTTCTCTTTGCCATCAACTACAACACACCTGTTGTCAGATCTGCTGGGGGACCAATGTGCTTCCTCATTTTAGTCTGCCTCAGTCTGTGTAGTATAAGTGTGTTATTTTACTTTGGTGAACCAACAACTTCCTTCTGTATCCTGAGGTTTTTACCATTTCTCTTGTTCTACACAGTTTGTCTCGCCTGTTTCGTTGTGCGTTCTTTTCAAATCGTTTGCATCTTCAAAATAGCCGCCAAGTTCCCCAAACTCCACAGTTGGTGTATCAAGTATCATGGACAATGGCTGGTCATCACTGTGGCATTTGGTATTCAGGCACTCTTACTTCTTATTGGATATACTTGTTCCCCTCCTGAGACTAACAAGGACACAGATTTGTATCCAGACAAAATCATACTTGGTTGTGACCTTGACCTAAAAGCCACCGCTGGTCCTGTGCTTTTCCTCTTGTCTTTGTGCTTCCTTTGCTTTATTTTCTCCTACATGGGGAAAGACCTACGAAAAATTACAACGAGGCCAAAGCAATAACCTTCTGTCTGCTCCTGCTGATCCTCACCTGGATGACCTTTGCCACTGAATATATGCTTTACCACGGAAAGTACATCCCAACACTAAACGCTCTGGCCATACTGTCCAGTCTCTACTCCTTTCTGGTGTGGTACTTCATCCCAAAATGCTACATCATGATTTTTCAATCCCACAGAAACACACATGAGTACTTCCAAGGACTCATTCAGAATTATACCAAAACAATCAGCCAGTAGCAGCTACCAGTAAAGATGTGTCTCTACTGACAGAAAACTGAGGTGGCTTTCTTATTACTTGCAAAAAATAAAATCAAAATAATTTGGCTTTTCTAAATAAAAAGTGTCAAATATACATATATTTTTTCAGTGCTGGTCACAGTTATTTTTACAAGTTTGAACATTAAGATAATACGATGTTGACATGTGGTGTCATTTCCTAGATGGTTGGCAACATACAGAGCAGTTCTAAAATATGTAAGTAGTTGAATTATTTAGATGTTATTAAACAGTTGATGTATACTGTGAGGGTTAACTTGCAAATAGTTTATACATTGTTTTGTTTTTTCATACAGACTTTGCTAGACCAGCACTTACTTCTTTGCAATCTTTTATTTCTGAGACCATGTTCCTGTAGTGTTGGAGACATAAACTGAAGGAGCCAGGAATGTCAGAGTGGGGATTTCTGATGTTTGATCTAATACAGGTTTTGATTGTTTATATTTCGGCATTGCTCTTTGTTTATAATATTATTACTTATTATTTCTCTGGTTATGGGGGCACTCATAGTTAATATAATCACCTGTGTGTGTGTGTGTGTGTGTGTGTGTGTGTGTGTGTGTGTGTGTGTGTGTGTGTGTGTGTGTGTGTGTGTGTGCGTGCGTGCGTGCGTGTGTGTGTGTGTGCGTGCGTGCGTGTGTGTGTGTGTGTGTGTGTGTGGTGTGTGTGTGTGTGTGTGTGTGTGTGTGTGTGTGTGTGTGTGTGTGTGTGTGTGTGTGTGTGTGTGTGTGTGTGTGTGTGTGTGGAAGAGAGGGTGAGAGGGTCACTGTATTTTTTGTCGACCGCCACCTTTTCACAGCTGGATTATTCAGACAGTATATATGTGTGCAAATTATAATAAGTGAATTCTCTTTATTAAAATAAGCTTTTTGTTCAACATATTTTTGGATTTCAGCATTCATTTTTGATAGAGCGTCTGACAAAGGCCACCAGGCCTGACCTCAGCCTCTCAGTGACATCAGATATAAAGGATAATATGGTCACAAAATTAACTATAGACATAGATATAAATATTATTGTTGAGAAATTATTGCAATACACAGATTTTGAAGTTATCTTATCTATAAGTCTCAAGGTATTTGGTAACAGTCCAATTAAAGTGATTTCTGTTAGGTCCCTGTAATTATGCAGATATGTGTGTGTGTACATGTACAGCAGGAATATGACAGTGAGTGATTCAATAAAGCAATGATGAGTGCATTTTTCTGTTTTAAAGTTTTTGAAGTTGCAGTAACACATCTTACCACAGGATGGCACCACGTAACAGTTGCTCTGTCTACATACAGTTCCACCACTGTGGGATATTGAATCCATGTTATGTATGGAGACATTGTCAAAACAATTAAGACTGTTTGTAATAATTGAATCTGGATTAAAAAAATAAAAAAATAAAAAAATAAATAAAACATTTAGATTAAATTATCCAATTGAGATTAAATTCAGGTTTGGGGTGAGACTGCATGTTTTTAGGGTTCTCATGCCTATTTTGTGCAGATAGGATTACATGCAATCTATACAAGTTTTGTTCATTAATAAATTCAACAGTTAATGTATATTGAACTAATACATCGGAGTAATAGTATTGCCTTTGGTTTCAGTGTTTGAATATATGTCTTCTCAGTAAATGTCTGTGTAAATAAAAAATTAGCCCTGTGCCTGAAGATAGCTGTGACAAGTACTAGACACATATCTTGCAGTACAATGAATAGCAGACATCTGTGAAGCAGGTCACCCCAGTGAGAATCAAAGCACTAACCCTATTGGTTCACCTAGCCAAAATGCCCAAACAGCATTACATTACGTACTTGTTCAGTATTCTACTATCAACTGTAATGAATTACAAATTAATTTACATTGTGATACACAACCCTATTGCCAGCCATGACACTAATTTAATGTGAATACATATTTTAAGTGCCTACACAGACAATCAGATGTGATGGATCAGTTTGTGTGCATCAGGTAAGCCTTAAGGTTTTATAGTGGTGCCTTTGTCAGATGTCCTCTTCTATCGATATTTTCTGTCATTACACTCTGTCTCAAATAATGTGTGTGTCAGATATCTCGCGCCAAATAATGTACTTGTGATTTTTGTTTTTTGGTATTATATGGAGTTGCAACCTAGACTAAATCTATTTTTATCAAAGGTGCTTTCAAATTGGGTTGCAAGGCCGACCATGTATTTTCCATCTGATTTAATACAGCCTACGTTCGATAAGAAGCTTACGTGTTGTGGTTGTTTTTGACAGGTTTTCTTGCTGACAGTCACGGACACAAGCAAGGCGGCCAAACACTGACCCGAGATAGAAGTGACGGTCGAACACTTCATGCCTCCATTGGAAAGTCAATGATTCATGCTGTGATGGTCTAAAAAGCTCGGGTACCCCACAAAGTGAAACGGAAAGAGCCTTGCCACAGGGGGTATGTGACAATTCCAGAGGGTAAATTGCCATTTTGTTGTTGCTATTCAGTTTCCTAGCAAGGAGAAGGGGAGGATGGACCGTGAAACTAGGAACGAATTGGTAAATAGTGCCACTTAGCATGGCATATGGCGAGTTTGGAGAGCTGAACGCTGACACCAACAAATTGACAATTTCATACCAATTTCAGAGTAACATTCGCCACACGTTGTCACGCAGAATTCTTCTTATCCACTAAGGAGAAGTTAAAGATGTGTGTCTCCTGATAAATTGTTGCCTGTGTGTCATTAAAATATGTATATTAAAAGGCGATACAAATCTTAAAGTTAGCCTTTTTTTTAAACGGTCAGAAGCTTATATTATTATTATAAAATGACAATACGTTTAGGCTTACACATTTCTACAACATTTTTATATTCTATAACGTCTTAAATATCTTTATGTTATATAATTATTTAGTTAAACTGAAGGCAGCATTTCTCCTGAGGGGACACATACTTCGGTTTTACAAAATATGGAGCGAGGAAAATCGGGGGAACGCCCCATGGCTTTTCACTTGTACCTTTCAATTTTCCACTTTGGTCAGATAAAGGGAAAAACCCTGGGAAAAAAGTTGGCCAGCAACTGGTCCTTGTTTTTGCGCTGAAAGCAAAAACAAAACGCACTTTAGGTTGAGGCCCTTTGCGTTTGGTGGCCATATGGGACCTGCCTGTAATGACTTATTTTGAATGCACAGACTACAGGACTCTCGCCCTTCAGGGATGCTGATGGGCGAGCTGGCCTCCTATTTCCCTAAACTTTTTTCCGAATTCTACTTTAATTATAGCCTAATTATGGAGAAAAGTTTGACAATTAATGTAAAATGCTTATATTTTTGGTCCTTGTTGGAATATACTTTTGTCAGGGGGACATTATACCAATACATATTGAAACAGTCCTGACTTGGAGAATACAGATTTCCTCATAAACAAGTAGACTAGTCAATGACTAAATTAATTCATGTTTGAGTGGATTTGAATATCCACTCATTGTCGGTTCCCTTTCAGCAATGACAATTAGTTCGAGTTAATTTTTAGTCCTGTGCTATTGTTCAAAACCAACAGTGGGTTTGATCTGAGATTGACATACTGCGATGGATGGATCCCACTCCCACCAATAAGACTATGTGCACTTAATCGTCATAAATCCATCAGATGGAAACTAAAATGCCGGGAAGTGGACTATAATAGTTTATAACAAAAACAGTATTACTGCAAGGAAGATGAAAGTGTTGAAACATCAGGAGTAATAGTCAGCTATTGGGTAATGTGGCAATACAGAGAAAATGCTAAATAATGTCCTCTTACGTTTGTTTTTAATATGCGTTTAATCTCACACCAAACGCTTAACTTCCACGTTGGTCATATTATGCCTCACTGTTGTTTTACGCACGGCTAAATACAGTGCGCTAAAGGGTGCTTGGTTATTCTCATTCAAATATTTCTCAAGTGGTTCAGAGTAAATGGCAGATGCTTTGCAATTCAAGGCGTATCAATACCCTTGCGCTTTAGTCTATAACAATGGAGCTCCCCTTTTGTTAGGCACTTGTGTCTTTCTGTTCAGAGCTCGACAAAGGCTTCATCCTCCAGCGAGTTATAAAGTTACTTTCCAGCCAGTTCATTTCGGTCCTTGAGAAAACCTTAAGCGATGTTAATGTGCACCTCTGGTCTTTTCATGCGGTAACCCCGGCACACAGGCAAACAGCGGCTATTGTGTCCCCAAACCAAAGTAAGAAGTCTTAAATAACCCTTGGACCAGTCTATAGAAATTCATGACGCTATTTCTATTTGATGTCTGATCAGAGCTTCGTCGACATGTCCGTCGCGTGGCTTTTCAGAACATCCTGTTTGTACATTTCAAATATGTTTCCAGTGCACCTGTTCATGTACCTGCTACTCTTAGCATGAATGTGTTACTCACAATAAGCAGTTTGGTCACACCACTGCTGCCTCGGGTCCATGTGAAAGGAAAGCGGTTCATCGATTTGCTTCGCTCACGGTGCACCAAATTATGGGGCCTGCATAATTTAACAGCCCTTCTGTGACATACGTAGCAGTAGCATAACCTATAAATACATTCCCTTAGACGAAATGCATTACTTTATGTGTCTATCTAAACTATGTGCTCCGAAATACATTGACCTACAGAGCCAACAATAACATTAAAAAAAAGTTAGGTAATGTCTTATAATGTTAATGTATAGGCCTATATTATTTAAAAGACAACATGGTAAGTTTACTCTTATGACCATGCATCTTGCTAAAACATAGTATTTTTTGTTATCTGTCGATATTCGTTATCATATTTATATTTTATTTATAATAATGGTTTTGTCTTTAGAAGTATAGCCTAAATTGCAGATGTAGATTATTATTATTATGCCGTTAGGGTATAGGCCTAAACCATTGGCTTGCAAATGTCTCAGTTTCCCTCTAGGAATACAATTGTTTATTGCAGTAATTGCAGAATTGCTTCACTAATTGTTGTTAACAAGTTCCCCAA